GACATGACAATATCCGCAGGAAGGGCATTCCATGCCTGGATTACCCTTAGAATGAATGACGGTCAGAAAATCATAAATACTACCCTAGTTTGCTTAACCCTTTATCACTAACATGTCTCGATGACTGGTTACAGTTTGCTGTGCGTATGCTTGACAGGACTGTACACTGGAGCCTCAGGACAAGATGGAATCATTCCTACCTATTCTGCTAGTCAAGTTAGGTCGATGAAAATCTTTTTTGACATGAAAATTCTCCTTTACAGCCGATATACTATGCGCCTGTCACTAGAGCCCCTTGAATCTCTTGGCCAGTGACCGGTCTTCTTGAACCAAAATTTCAGGTACTTCCTGTCGGTGCTTGGAGTACAGTTGGCTGACCACAAGAGATCTATCGGCAATGGCCATTTCAGTCTCTGGATTTATTTGTAATGATTCTCTATTGGCCATTTTATTGATACTGGCCAATAGAGACGCATTGACGCATTTATCAAGCACACTGACTTGTAGTTGCACGTGGATTAAATCAGCAGTCGGTAATTAAGCCTTTTCAAACCAATATATTCACTAGTTTAAAGCACCATTCTTGATAAATACTTTATCATGAAATGGGTTAAGAAAGGAATTTATTTCGCCGGTTTTATCTTATAAGAACGGCAGGCTTTATGCCAGCGCACAATAAGAATCGAGGGATCCGTGCGTGACTTCAGAAAGGACTGATTATCGTTTGGATTAACAGGGGCGATTTTGAATTTTTTAAATACCAACCAGCTTCTCATAGTATAGTACTTAGCGTGAAATTGCACTAATCGTAATTCAAAGTAAGCCATCTGTTCTATTTGGAAGCATACTGAGATGATGCGGAATTCAAAAAATGGCAAGGCCACTAGCTAAAAGCCCAGATGTGCGGTTCTTCAATTTTTTGCCGCTGTGTGACGCAACTGCGACGGATTTGACTCATCACTTGATGAACATTGTGGTGGTGAACATCTGTGGTGAACATTGAAAACTCGTGAAAGCGCATAGGACTGATAAGAGGGAGTCACATAACTACGCTATGCAGCGGCAAACAAACGATGGACACGCATTTTTGCTTTTAGCACGTACCTGCAGAGCAAGTGCATGGAGTATTCAACATTTCCCCACTACTAACGGCCTGTTGGCAGAGTGGGGACAGTATAGGCTGTTTCACTGCAGCTGAAAATTTTCAGTTTAATTTCAGCAAATTCGGACCGAGCCTGAAAAGTTAACATATTAATCTCCGAAGTATTCAAACAAACTTAATATACTCAAATGGTTCGACACAGACTTCATCCGTTTTTGCTTATCATATAATTTATTTCACAGTAAAAAAACTTCCACAGGGCGATGAGACTAATAAGAAGTCCTACTGAGTTTTAAACTGAGAATTTTGGAATCGCACCTGTAGCAGTTTGCAAGCGCATATGTGCTCTATTTTGCCCACTTTATCCCTTGGTTGTTTAACCTATTCTTCTTTTTTATCTCCTTGTTCTTTTACTAGAGCTGATTGTGGGAACCAAAACCCGAATATATAGGCAAAAGAAGCCAGGTGCCTCTGGTGTACAAAGTTCAAAATCCACCTCTTTTGTTTGTCCATTTTAGAGGAAATACGAAGCCACATTGTGTTCTGGGGCGTTGGTCGTTGTGATGCACAATTCCGATTCCAGTCTTAAACAATTCGACGATAATTCCCCCGAAATTGCCGACGTCAAGCGCTTAATCAAGTCGGTAGGTCCGTGTTCCTGCTACGATGCTTGTCTTTTTCTTGATGGCTGATCAGCTACAGCAGGGTTCCTAACTCATGCAATATGCCTATATGAAGGAAATATTACCTACCGTTGTAATACAAGTAGAAACACATTGACGAAAATACCCGACTCAAAATGGACGATCTCCAGTTAAATCAAAACGCAAAATCGGTACTACAGGTACTCTTTCTGCATTACGAAAAAACAATTTTACTAAGAAAGACGGAAATGTCGATAACGTGAAAAAATTTGTGTCACATTAATAGACTCAAATATTTTAGAAATGCATAGTGCTTGTCCATTATCCAACAAATTACCCAAGAAAATTGTATAAGCACAATCACATTTAACACCTTATACTTTTACACACACTTAACTTAAATATCGTCCAAGAATTAATGTTATATGAAGTCTGGCAAAAAAATGAAGTGGGTACTGTCTGGTCAAAAGTTTGTTGTGAAAATTGGTGTAATTTTGTGCGTTTTTGTATTGTCTGAGTTGTGGTTGATTAAAGTAAAGACAACTGCGCTGATAGTACTGGGACAGGAATAAGTTTCCATAGGATTGTATGTTAATAAACCGATCCGTAAATATTAAAAAGCGGAACAGAATTGATAGATGCGGCTGTAAGCAAACTATGTTGTGTGTATTAGGAGAATATTTCTTTCGGAATATTTCTGTGCAATTTGTGTCTACGGGGGACTCTGTTGAGTGTAGTTTTTTCTTGCTCCCATCGTCCTGGTGAGCGCCGCCGACATTTTATATTGACTGACTTAACTAATTACGTATTGTTTCTTTTTACATGAACCTTGCTCTATATCAGACGTAAATAAGAGTGAGCAGATTGGGCGGTTTTTACCGGCAGTCAGTGAAACACTAGGATTGTCCTTCTCTGGCTTTTGTACTGAAGACTCCGGCTGTACGCAAAGGATTTGAACCCGAGTCTGTTGATCACCTAGCAGTGCCCTTAACATTTAATTACCGGCTCACGTAATGTCGACTCACGTCCTGTCATGGTAGAAATACTCTTCTTCGCTTCTAACAAACACGAGAGATTGATGACACTCACTCCTGTATGAAGGACCTCGTCTTTCGAAATGCATTTTGCTATGTTATATTACATTTTCCAGACCTCATAAGCTTTTATATTATCTTGGAACTTTTGAGCCTTGAACTAGCCCTTTTGCAAAGGAGTATCAACGCTTGTCTCACAGTCGTATTGTCTGCTCTGTCTTGTTTCATTTCCGAGGAAATCGATGCACGAACCTGAAGTAAATCCTCCGGAACAAACTTTTTCAGGCTCGGTCCGAAACTTGATGTGAATATTTGAGCTGAACTCATTAGATACACTGCTTTAACCGCGTATTACTCACAAACTGCCAACAGGCATCCAAAGGTATACACTGCGTAATTATTTTCTGTGCTGACAATAAAGGTACTCACTAAAAGTCCAGACACATGCGTTCTGCCGATCTTATGCCGCTGTCCAACGCATCTGCGAGGGTTTTGACTCAGCAGTGGGTTCCTCAGAGTTTCTCGCGAGTTCTCTGGTATATAAACTCCAGTTGTAGCCTCTCTTGTCTCTTCTGTCGATAGAAGTGAGGAGGTGAGCTCCAGTGAGCAGTCGAGAAGGAGGCGCGCAGACTAGAACAGGAGTTTTATTTGCCTGACGTTTCAGCTCCACGTTCCAATCCATCATCAGAGGCAGAATCGGATAAGGGTAGTGTTGTACACACGTGTTGCACTATGTGATTGCTATGCCATTACATACCTGGCAAATTTGACGGCTACCGCTTTCATCGCAGATGGTTGCACGTGGCACGACACTGAATTGATTGCCCTTGGCCGAGCAATTAATTGCATCGGTGCGCTTATTGCTCGACTATTTGGACCATCGACACTGACACTTGGAGCAGTTTTCGCCTGCGCGCTCCCCGCATGGTTATTCACTCTGCCAGGGCAGTCTCAGCAGATAATATGGAGGTGGGAGGTAATTGCGCGTTTGTTAACCAAACAAAAGCTAGCAAACCATCCATCCAGCGGTTCGCGGCTCTCTAGTTATCAGCCATAGCAAGGAGTTCAGCCGCGTCCTTTTGGATGAGCCGTGACTTGGAAGCAAGCGCCGTTCCTCCTTCCCATTGCTGCCGCATGTCCGGGCATCCGCGTCCACAGTAGTCCTTCGAATTTTCTGACAATTGTTTTGCGCACAAGTGCATCAGGTCTGGTAAACGACTCGAGTGCAGATCCGAAACGTTAGGCAAATAAAACGCTTTTTCAAACGATTACCACTTTCCTTCTCTTCCTGACCTTCTCTTCTCTCCACGATGCAGTGAAGTGGTACATTTTTCTTTTTTGGACAGAAGGTCAATCCTAACTGGCATCGGATACGTTTAAAGTGACACGCGCGGCATCTTGTGCACTGATCCTCTCAAGATCTGATTAACCCATAACTTGCTGGACAACGGTTGTTTGGGGCTGCTTGGTTGAGAGTGGTTTCCTGGCTTCGAAGGTAGGCGTCTGAATTCACTCCTCCGAAGTTTAGTTTGCAGGATGGTATCGGAAAATGGCGAGTGAAACCTTATCGTGGAGGGGGAAGGGTATTAGCATTTGCCATATGGTAATCCGCTATGTTCTATGATCCCTTTAATAGTATTTCATTTACCAACTCGATGCCTAGCCATGGCTAATATTTTTTACACATAATGATCCACAACTGCGTATTTCTGAGACCGTACAGTCTACTACTTTTGCATCGAGCCCTCCTACCCCACGAACACTCCTTCAAGACGCAGCAACTGTAGGCGCATCGGATTTACGCTTAACTTATTAGCGAATTTAGAGCCTGGTACTATGTCCCTGAATTTTTTTGCCCATGGACTCGGAACGTTTGGCTTTATCGGTAGTTATATAACTACTCTAGTCCTTAGCTGCCTTATGGCCCCTGTTTCGTTTGACCATTCTGTCTCCAGGGACCTCGCTTCTAGATAATCGGCTGTGGAAAATTAAGTAGGCACAGGTTTAAAAAAATATTTTTCGCGATTTAGATAAACCGTGTTCAGTCTCACCCTTCTTGTTTCTTTTTTTATTACTCCTTTTCCTCCCAGGAGGTGACTAAGCTGCCACCCTCCGTCGAGATTCTTCTGCAGCCCGGACAGGGTTTCATGGGCTTTCCTTCGTGTTTCGAGAAAGTGACAGCCGTACCCAGCTCCGAAGGAAACCATAATTTCTACCGGTTTACTCGTCTCGTCGATAAAGTCATCACAGACGCCCTTCTGCGTGCACGAGACTCCCTAGTGTTATACGCGGACCTCGAGATAGATCTTCTGCGTCCTCATGCTAAATCAGAGAACATTGCGCTAGGCCGGAAAGCCATAATTGCTCCTCTTCGTCATAGTTCATTATGCTTCGTCGGAAACCGTACCACCGCAGGACTGCCCCCTTCCCTTGACGACAAGATACCAGCAGTGCTCCGGCAGACTCTTTCTTGGGGCTCTTGGGACAAATCTTTAAGGTAGGTGCCCCCTGTTTCTTTGGAAACGCTGGCTCACAGAATGTTCTTTCATTTGACTCTATTTTACCAGCAGGCAGATACATGAGTGCAGAGTACTTGTATAGGACTATTTTTTTTATTAACGCCCTCACAATGACTGGAATGCAATCATGCCGTTACTCTTTTTTATCCTTCGGTGAGCTCGTGTTGTCTACCGTACCTCTAGACTTCTTGGTAGGTTTGTTGACCTCCCTATCCGACTGGGACCTTAGCCTATAGGTCTGTAGTCTGTAGGTCTGAATGTAAAATCGGAATTTCGACCCCGGATCACAGTTAATTTTAAATCTAGAGGTCAGATTTACGTGCTGTGAACGGACACGCGAGTTTAACTGTGTGTTTACTGTTCCATAAAGTCTACAGGCTTTCAAATTGTAGCCTTCAGCGTATAAATATCGACACCAGACTCAGCCTTCTTGTGTTTAAAAGAGAACGTATATACATTGAGGTGTGATGCAACCCAAGCTCGTCTCACGAATGATCTCGTTGGATTGCGGTCGGTCAGCGACGGACTCCCAAGCGAAGTTGAGTCACTGAGTACGCCGACTTCGCTGACCGAAGAGCTCATGGCCGCAGCGATGGTCAAGATCAGTTCTAATCCCGTATTTGGCCAGCCAGGGCAAGCAAGCTGGCGCCCTGGATTGTTTTCTTCCCTCTGATTACTGTTACGCTCAGTATGAGTCAGCTTATTTTCGAGTAGGGCGTGAGCAGTTGATGCGATGTGTTCCTGACCGATTTAACAGTCTTCTGTTAGAGGCAAGCTCCATAAGATGAATTCACAGCGTGAAAAGTAATCCCAGTTGGTGCATATCTTCTGACCACAACACCCTCATACAAAAGGAATCTCTTTACGAGGAATTCACGTACTCGCAAATTAGTCTTCAGACTGACTTCACGTCTGTTACAGAGATTTGAACTTATCAGAGCGTAGACTGGTCACACATGCTTGAGCCGTGGTTGGTGTTATCTTCACTTTACCCATTTCGTACAAGGTTCAACCTGCTGTAACGGAAGGTGTGCACTGGTACAAGACCCTCCTTTTCTATCCTGAAAGGGCAGATATATCCTACCACGGAACTAAAAGATGGTCACCCTTGCTTTGGCGGGTTTCATTCTCGGGTCGTTTCTGCTGCCTTCTCGGCTATCTGTTACATCTTGAGTCGAATCTCTACGTGGCAACTCGCAAGTACCGTGGCACCATCGGTTACGTGATTATGCTCCGTACTGTCTGTCCACTGTCGATTTCGACAAGGTCCCCCGTGTTCCCCTTAGCAGGATGGACTTGCGCGCGAATTAGCTTATAGCACTGTTAGACATGCACAGTATCTAGCGCATTCTCTATCGCTCAGCCACTCGGATCCAGTGCTGAAAAGAACGGGGACGGCGTCGGGCGCAGTTGGTCGGTGCAACACGAATCTGCGCCACTAAACTTCCTGTGTTGCATTTGATGTGGGTGCCTACCGTGCCAACTACCAATTAAACTCGGACCTCGCAGTCAGCCCACTATGTGTTTTTGCTTTAGTGACGGACTGACGAACTAGAAGGCAGGCTGTACTAGCTCCTGACGGCTCTCTCAAACGTGTGAGCTTCGAGCCGCTCATCCATTTAGATTGCGATCCTGCTTTTTGTGTTTGGGGGAAGCATGTCGTGTACGTGGCATACGCA